GGCGGAGGTGAGCGGGCCGCGCAGTGGGCGCCGGTGAGTGGCCTAGCGAGGCTTCCCGGCCGGGGGCGGGCGCTGAAGGGGACGGGAGCTCCTCTGTGCTGAAGGTCGGGAGAGTTTCCTTGAGGAGGAAAGTGAGAGCCCTAGGAGGCATCAGGACGGGAGGCGGGGACCCGGGCAGAGGGCCACGAAGTCCCTGCGGGGAGGTGACGCGATCACACCGGAGAAGCTGAGGGACTGAGGCCCGGGAGAGGCTGGAGTGCGAGGGGACTGCGAGGAGGCGAGAGCCACAGCCCTGGACCGAAAGCAGTTGGCTGTGTTGAAAGCTGCAGAGACTGGGAGGTGGGAACCGAGCTACTCTTGGGCTCCAGCCGCGTGGGAGTTGTTTATATTGAGAGCCTACGAGGAGAGGAAGAAATAGCGGATCTGCAAGAACCAGTCAGCCGAGGAGGAGCAGGTGGGCTTTAGCTTTTGGAGGACCAGAGAGAGGAGTAACGGCGGAACCAAGCCAGGTGAGGTCGTGGTCCCGCTGAAAACAGCAACGCCGCCGAGAGTAAGACGAAAGCGGAAAGTAAACTGCACCTGTGAAGTTCGCTCGTCCTGGGTCTGTGCTGTTCGCCCCGCAGAGCCCTGGGCGGACAGCTTCACTGTCGGAGCGCTCCTAGCTCACCTTGGAGGAAGCACGGAGTAACGGACACCTCCGTCTCCTTGGCCTCCTTCGACTGGCAGCAGGGGCCCCTGGCCATGGTCACTGTCACTCTGGAGTTTGAGCTGTCGGGCCAAGCCAGCTGCTTCCTGTGCTGTTAATTAGCCAGGCAGGCTCAGGGAGCCCTGGCAGTGTTGGGCCTCCCGGGAAATCGGGCGTCTGCAGTGTTCAGAGGCTGAGTAAGACAGCCCTTGCTCCGAGTAAAGAATTAGAGTAAAGGCAGTGAGAAACAGAAACAAAGTTGGCTGGGATGAAACTCACTGGCACCAAAAGGAAAAAAGAAAAGAAAACATGGACTGCCTGTGGGTAGTGTAGTGATGAGACGCTCCTGCTTAAACTTCCCAGAATTTGGCAACTTCTCTGCATTGAGTATGCGTTGGTTTGAGTTATTTTGGAAACCTGGACCGTCTAAAATACATTTGTCATTTACCCTTGGTAAATATTATTTTCTGCCTACACTGAAATTGTGTTACTGTGACTGGCTCCCGAAGTCCCTCCTAGTGGCTGCCATTATTAAGCATTTACAGGCTCTGCCTTGTAACCTCAGAGTTCCGGACAGGCTTGGGTGCAGCAATTCTCCTTTTCTGGATCGCTGCCTTAGCAGCCCTCGGGGAGCATTTCCTGGGAGCTCTGTCGAACCCTCTACCTTGACACTCAGTCTGGCTCACAGCCTTGCCCAGGATGCCCCACCTCATGAGGGCCGGGCTGGGTGCGAGGTGTGGCCTGAAGAAGAGGGGACACTGAACTTGCTGTCACCCAAAGAGTCACACATCTGTCTATCCCTGCTTTGTTTATTCTGCTACTCCTTCACCTTCCCGCGAAAATTGGTGTCTTCATGGAAACTTAAGACACTTGTTTTCATGTTGGCTGCTGGTGTTAGGAGTTATCTGAAGAAAACTTATAGACCCCCTAAAAGTAAAAAGCTGTGCCTACAGTCATTTTTGTTTCCATAGGCACTAAAATGAGCTGTCATTACGAGGAGTAAAATGGAAATCTCCATATTTTCCCTAGAATAATCATTTATCTGGATTAGGGCAGGTTTGAAAGTGCGCTTCCTAAGGCAGCCTGCAAAGCATTTTCCTGGCCCCACAAGGCAGAGCTGAGACCACACGTGCTCTGGGGAACTTAAGCTCTGGCTCGGAGAATGTTCCTGTAAGACTTGCATTACATACATGTACATGCCTGTTCCTTTCATGTTTTGTGTTAGGTAGTGCTGGCCCCCACTCATCTCACGCAGTGTCGCTGCCGCACAGGGCCAAGTGGCAGCTGGGGTGGCAGCTGGACCAGGAGTCCCTGGGCTCCCCTGTGGTGGGCAGGTGGAGCCTGGCATTGCTGGCTAAAACTTATCTTAATTCTGGGTTCATAAGAGGAGCACCACATGTCATTCTAATAAAGAGGCATACGTGTTTTAGCTAATTTTAAATAAATTTAAGTGACCTGTTTTGAGTGACAGCTATTCAGCAAAAGTATTTGCTCTGAAATATAAAATGAGAGATGACTCCCCTTTCCTGATAGAAGTAACTGCTGATTATCAGCTGTACAAATGAAAGCCGTTTGTAAAGCTGTGGGAGAGAGGGAGAGGGATGTGTGGGACAGCAGATCTGTCAGGAAACATGGAGCCCGGTGAAGCTTTCGGCTCCGAGGGTCTTGCTGCCTGTGAAGTGGAAGTGAGCAGCGCACAAGGTTACCACAGCTCGCATAGATAAAGGTAGGGAAGTCTGGGTCAGTGCTTGCTTAGCAAGTCTTAAACACTCAGGAGTAGACTTTGCACACCTCCTAAGAGCTGCCCCCAGCCCTCCTGCCCTGAGCGCCTCTCTCCTCTCTCGCAGCTAGGCTGTGTTCCCGCAGGGCGGCGCGGTGGGCACCCACACGGGCACCTCCGTTAGCGCGCTGCGCCCTCACAACCAGAAGCCAGGCTGAGAAGGAAAACAAGAGAACCGTAGAAAAGCTCTGCGAGCTTGCCGTTGACATCAGAAAAATCCGTCGATTCAAAGGATGGGTGCTTCTGGAGGAAGAGACCTACGTGGAAGAGGTGGTGAGTGTCCTGCGACAGCTGGGTGCCGACGCGGCCGCGGTGGCCAGCATCCTGGAACGCTGCCCCGAAGCCATGGTCTGCAGCCCCGCCGCGCTGGCCACGCAGAGGG